CCCCAAAACCCCAAAACCCCAAAACCCCAAAACCCCAGGGGGAAATAGATTAATAGAATATTTGAGGTTTATATAAATTATTGTCTACAACTGAATACGATTCATTTGTTAGTTTTCTTGATATTTAACTTTGGAGTCTTAAAGACACTCTCTGTGAACTTCATCCTATGAAGTTGATACTGACGAGATGTAGTGCAAGTAATAGTCTTCACATAGCCCCAAAACGTGGAGCTTATTACTCCACCCACAATGGTCTTCATTGTTGAATGATCACTACTTGCCACTTCTTTTACTCTCAGGTTACATGAATTGAATCTGAGAGCTTTCAGTTTGATGGTACTGGCATACTTGTGGTGTATAAAATTTTTGCTAAACTTTTGAGCAGGAATTTCTCATTCAGTAAATACGAGTGATTCCAAATGTCTGCAAGCCATGAAGAATTTTTCGAAATCTCGTTCACTGAGAACCCAGTGTTTAAGCTCGAACTTCTTCGCTACGCAGCTTATATTTTTGTATAGAATTGTGTGATCAAGTTTGACTTGCAGGCTTTTAGGCTTTCTGACTCGAATAATTGTCCAGGAATTCAGCTTCCTTGGAAATGATTTTTCTCATAACTTCTGAATGGAATCCAAGCGAGTTCCAGGCTCATAGTCTTCTAAGAACATTTGAAAGTAGTCAACTTTAACAATGTCTCTCTGGATATTATCGATTTCATTAGCAAACCCAGAATCTTGTTTATTTGTGCTTAGGAAGCTTCAGGCAACCTTACCCATTTGGTGGAGCATTCCTGTGAACTTGTGTTTGATGGCTGTAGAGGCTACAACCTTTTGGTTAGTCTTGCACTCTTTTGAGAGAACAGTTCGCTCAAGGGATTTGTGGGCACTCCTTAGAGAACCCATTGTGAGGCTTAAATCTCTCTGATAAATTCTATCGTCCATTTGGTTATTATTATCAATTTTTCTAACACTTTGGGGTTTTGGGGTTTTGGGGTTTTGGGGTTTTGGGGTTTTGGGG